TTTTCAGATATATAAAACAAAATACCTTAATGTTTATAATTATGTAAGTTTCGTTGAAATAAACGACATATTTCACATGAAATTCTGACTTTGTTGTGATCGCGGGCGAGGATCACGGGTGTTTTGTTTACTCCCGTACCCGTGCTAAGGGGACATCACTCTGTCAATCTATGTCATTATCAAGTAGTAATAATAGTTCACAAAATAAGAATTCATGATTGGTTATCATTAGAAAAAAATGAAACGTTTTATAAAAAATGATTTTATGATTGAAATAATTGTGTTCTTTTTCAAAAGGAATTTTAAGTTTACTCACTACACATTTTAACTTTTAATAGGATACATCTACAAATACATTAAAAAATACCAAAAATACTTCTGACTTTTATAGCTGTTTTATGAACACACTTCCAAATAAAACTATCCCTAGAAAAATGTAAATCTGACAGATCACTTACACATCTATTATGAAACCATCTGTCACAGCCAGCATCACAAGAAACCATATCATCAAATACATTTGAGATGTGACACCCATCTGCCCCGCAATCCATAAAAATATCGAATGATAAAGAAGTCTTCTTTTGCCTATGTCTACCTATTTTTTTCCTAGGAAATTTAGTAAAGATTCCATCGGAAATACATTCCACAAGATGTTGTCTCATGCAAGTGGTGTCAAACTAACTCTTCACTCCCGTTAAACCCATTGAAACACAATTCTACCAAGTTAGCAATAGCAAAAAACCCACAGTCAACCCCGTTTTTCTGTTGTTGCACATTTGGTAATACTGTTTGTAAAACTTTTCTATTTTCCCCATATGATGATGACAACTGCATTTCTAAAGAAGCTGACAAATGACCCTTCTGTTTCGTATTTCCTATCAAACTATCAAGAATGTATACTTCCCCACTATCTACCTCCTGTACTGACACTACCCAATAGTCCTCACCTGTATGATGTATTTGTGCTGATGCAGCGCTAGTTGGTTTCATTCTGAGTGCATAGTCCCACTTATTGTTTTTCAAAATTGGAGCATAACCTGTATCTTGCATTCCGCCTATATTAGGAAACTGTTTCTTTAAATTATTTTGTACGTAACACATGATATTACCACATAGTTTGTTATCAATTAATAAATCATTTTTATCCTTAAAACTTAGCGTACTTTTACCGTTATCCATTCAGATACGTCTTGTTTCTGCGGACTTAATAAGCGATGGTCTTTCCCACACCAAGACCAGACAGTAGCCACCAACCAGCATATTTTATGATGTCACCCTTAATATGGGAATTGAAATAATCTACAAAAGGTTCACTCCATTTCTCAGATACCGTATCTAACATTGCCAAAAACTCATCTTCACTCTCGCATCTTAATAGCTGTATAACATCCTCCATGTAAATTGAAATATCACTACTACCCTTATGCTGGTTCAACCAAAATCTAATATCTCTACGAATATGATTCCAACAAAAAAGTATTTTGACATTTGGAAAAACCTCCTCTAGCGAATTTTTTATCACTGATTCCCTATCCAAAACCATTATTTGATTACCTTTTGATAAATTTGGAATTAGAGACTTAACAGATCGCTAAAAAAAACTCATGAACACGAGTGGACTTCCTATCATGAATGAAAAATGCTACAGGAATTGTTTTATTATTTTGAAATAGCACATGTCTGAAGACTAAAGCTGAAACATAAAAATCTCCTACTTGAAAGTTAGTGTCATAAAAAATTACAGATTATTAAATAAAAAAGAAATAATGAAATAGTTGTATTAAAAGGTTTTTTTTAGATATTATCAGGGACGTATAGTGAAGGGGATTAGCAACTCCCTCTTTGCCTTACCAATTTTATGACACGTCAATCTAGACTTACCTCCCCCTGATTCAGGAGTAGATAGCGAGCGCCACCTATCTCAATTTTGACAAACCAAGATGGCGTCGATACCGCTTCGTTAGATTACAGAAATTGGCGTGAAAACAAACCAATCGCGATAAGTGTTCTTACTTCTTTTGTTTATCCAATTGCTATAAGCTGATTGTATTACTTATAATTGATAAAATCTGTGGTATCATATTAATTGATGTCTCGTTTTTGGGGTATATTTTTCTATTTTTAAACGCGATGTAACGCGTGGTTCAGAGTATTGTGGTTGGCGTCGATAGCCAAAAACCGGGACAAAAAAAACACATGTATGTGAACCACCTCACTCCAAAAGTATTTGACCGATCTTTTTTAAATTAGCAGCAATAGAAAGCTGAATACTTTTTATAACGACCCAACCTATTTTAATTGCAAATAATATAATTTAACTTGTGTTATTTTTGTGTCAAAAAGAGTAAATATCAGCATTATTTTTCAATGGAACGTAAATCATTATTGCGAAAGTAGTTGGTGACTGCTCACTGTTTTGATTAAATTTTATAAACTATCGTTTATATTTTTTAAAACAATTAATATCAATAAACAGCTGAGTAGTTTCTATGTTAAGTAGGCCTGATTTGATTTGCATTACTTAAAACTATAGCGATGTCACAGATGAAATTACTCGTCTGGTAACGAAGGACACGTGTCGTTAAAAAACGTAAACAACCGGAAATGTTAAACCCAACAAAAAAGTATCGCCTGCATTCGGGGATCAGCTCATTTCAAAAATACTTCATTTTGAAATTTACAGGGATAGAAAGTTGAATATTTTTTTGATATGTAGTACTAATTTTTATGGCAAAAAATAAAAAATAACTTCTGCTGTTTTTGTGTCAAAAAGTGTCAATATTAGCATTATTTTCACTGGAACGTGCTGTACGAAATGTGATTTGTTGTAATTGCCACCAACACAGCCGAAAGGCTAGAAATAGTGGCAACGATAGCCCTATCCCTGGAATAAAAAGAAGACCTACTAATACACAGTCCCAATCAGGGCTAACCGTTATCAAAACACTCCCATCTCGGCGAGATTGGTGACATGATTTTAACGCTAGTGCGCAAGCGCGGGCTGATCGAGAGGGGCTCGGTGAACAAATACAAAAGCGACGTGCTATAGAATCTTGACTGGGGCAGAGTTGATTGATTGATAGGTTTTACGTCCGCTTCACTACCGGATGTATCGGTTATCCAGCAGACGAGGGGCAGAGTTGCCAATCCCCTCTATATATACTGTCCCTGATATTATGCATATTTAGCACGAGTCTTGACGGAGTGATGTCCCCTTAGCACGGGTACGGGAGTAAACAAAACACCCGTGATCCTCGCCCGCGATCACAACAAAGTCAGAATTTCATGTGAAATATGTCGTTTATTTCAACGAAACTTACATAATTATAAACAATAAGGTATTTTGTTTTATATATCTGAAAATAACATGTTAATTTTCTCTCAATATCTAATTATATATGAAAAACCGTGATTTTCACGGTTGACTGCGGCGTACAAGTTTTACCCACTTGAAATAAACATTATCGTCAATTTCTAAATTATAAGATGATAAATTTACATTTTATTAACAGTCACATTTAGAAAATAATGTTTGAAAATATTGTATAATTTTATAAAAAATATAAACGATCGCGTTAATGAGATATTAAAATATCTCTATATGCCTGGTACGGGGTTTTGGGACGGGAGCGGGAGCGGGGTACAAGATTTACCTACCACCAAATTCACCAGCCTGCAAAATACAAGATTTGATACATAATAGAAATAAATTGTATGAAGTTTGTAGATCAAAGCATAATTATAAAGATCATTCTAATGTTGGCAGTGCCCTCACAGCTACAGAATTTTAATAACTACAAATCTGGTTTCATATACAGCTGACGAACAATCACTATTAAAGCTTAGATAGGAATACACTTGATTAGATTTCAAGGAGTCAAAAACATACAACTATTATGATACCTATGCTAGCTATAGGTAAATTTCAATCCAAATGAAACTGATGGTGAATGCATGTATGTCAAATTGTACATAGAACTTGAAAGTTGTATTAAGGCATTCTCTCAACACAATAACATCAAATCTACAACAGTGACCATCAATTAAGATGCATCTCCATCAAAGTTTGATGATCATATAGCATATAACATTCCAAATCTATAATGAGTAAACATACATTTCACATATAACACATGTGTATTATACTGTCAAAGTCATGTATTACATATGTGTATACTATTACAGGCAGGTATAACACTTGTTTTTACTATTACACATATATATATACTATCACATACATGTACATGTATTATACACATATATTATCACACACATGTATTATGCAGTATGCTATAACACTCAGTTATTATACATGTACCACTATATACTACATGTATCAAACAGTTATTACACACAGACTATCACAGCACAGATAATTATTATACACATACATACTTACACAGTTATTATACACATACATACTATCACACAGTTATTACACACATAAACTATCACAGCACAGATAATTATTATACACATACATACTATCACACAGTTATTATACACATACATACTATTACACACATACTATTACACACATACTATTACACACAGTTATTATACACATACATACTATTACACACATACTATTACACACAGTTATTATACACATACATACTATAACACACAAGTACTACACACATACATACTATCACACACAGTTATTATACACATACATACTATTACACACATACTATTGCACACAGTTATTATACACATACATACTATAACACACAAGTACTACACACATACATACTATCACACACAGTTATTATACACATACATACTATTACACACATACTATTGCACACAGTTATTATACACATACATACTATAACACACAAGTACTACACACATACATACTATCACACACAGTTATTATACACATACATACTATTACACACATACTATTGCACACAGTTATTATACACATACATACTATAACACACAAGTACTACACACATACATACTATCACACACAGTTATTATACACATACATACTATTACATGTACACACAGTTATTATACACATACATACTATAACACACTGTTATTATACACATAATACTATCACACAGTAATTATACACATGTATATAAACTATCACATACAGGTATAATACATGAATATACTATCACACTAAAGTTTGTTACACAAACATACTACATGCATGTATCGCACACAGGTATTGGACACATACTTACTATCACAGATAATTATAACGCATATCTTTACTATCAGTATCACACATGTACACACTATCACAAATAGGTATTACACATGTACACACTATCACAGACAAGTATTACACATGTGCACTCTATCACAGACAGGTATTACACATGCACAACACTATCACAGACAAGTATTACACATGTGCACTCTATCACAGACAGGTATTACACATGCACAACACTATCACAGACAGGTATTACACATGTACATATGATCACAGACAGGTATTACACATGTACATATGATCACAGACAGGTATTATACATGTACATACTAAGTACACTTTTATACATGTTCTCTTATCATTTTCTTTACACCTCATATGACGTAATATCTTAGTAATAACATTATTTCTTCTCTTGTCAAGATATATAGGATATATAAAATATACTGTCAATGAAAACAAGTCATCCAGCAGGCATGTATCACCAACCTTCATTTTTTAAATGCAATCATTGCAAAATACTTTCATCATTAGTTCTATTAAAGCTATTTTTAGCATTGCTTCTCAGTAGCAAGTTGGAGCTTCACCTCTCATTATTTATTTATTTACCTGGTCTGAAGGTACAATGTGAGTTTATGCCTGGTGTCTCAACTTCAATATATTTTTTAATGAGGATATTTTGCTACATACAAAAATGAGTGATACAGGCCCTCTTGGCCTCTTGCATAACATCTAAAACTCCCAGGTCTAAGGATGCATACTTCATAGTACATTTGGTTGAAATACAAGAGTGAAATTGACTTCTGTAAATGAGTAAAAACAAATAATCATGATATTTGGCTGTTTAAGCTCCCTTAGATGGAGCTTGAAAAAGTTTGCTTACAAAATTACCTTCAGTTACATTTGAGGTCACAGGGGTCAAATATTTCAAAACTTCTTTTAGGGAACCCATACACTTCATATCAAGAGTATATGGTATTTCACAGGTTTTAAATTGAAATAAAAAATTCATATGAACTATTCATGATCAGTCCTCTTGTGAAAAGTTGATATTCATGATCAGTCCTCTTGTAAAAAGTTGATATACAGAGTATATACATGTATATATATAGAACACATATTTAAGTATGTAAAGAGTAGTTGTCTGCAGAGTTTATTATGCAAGGTAATATGTGCAATGTATGTATATATACATACACTTAAAGAGTAATACAGAGTAATATTTACATTATTCTGAAGTTGGACTAAACATAAATATAAATATAAAAGATGTGCATTGATAAGGTTGTCTTAGAAGTGTCAGCTGTAGGGAATTTCCTTTTAGGTCAGCAGAAGAGCATTGGACCAGAGAGCCAAAGATCATGGGTTTGAGCCCCAGCGACAGCAATAACTTTATCACTATTCCTCATCCTACTACATATATATCTACTAAAGGGTCTGTGGTTTATTTTTCTATAAACTTTACAGTTTGCATACATGTATGAGTAAGATAGAACATTTGTGCAGATGCATACCTTCTTATAGCTTTCAGATTCTTTTTTTTTCTTCAAAAGTTTCAGTTTGAAATGTATGTGTTTACATTTTGTATTATTCTAAAGTTGTAATTTATACATAACAGATATTTATCTTACACTTACACAAGACTGATATTTTAGAAATAATAAAAAAAAATTCATGAAAATCATACTAATTATAAATTAAAACAAGTTCTGTTCTGTTGAATTGATAGGGTAAATTTAACTTCAATTGGCTTTGAGACAAGTTAAATGTGTAGAAGCATTTAATAACTCATTATGTCTCAAGACCCATTGATTTATATCTCATATACCTCACCAGACCATGTACAGGACTTTATCCTTAAACAGATACAAATAGTATACAGAATAAAAACAGACAGTAATGTAAAACAAGTAGTTTACAGTGTATAAACCATTTCGTTATTGTAACTGCTATTAGCATGTTTTATTGATAGGTGTATTTTAGTACAGCAAAGTAAACTTGCCTACTGTAGATGTGTGTTAAAGTACAATGTACTCACATGTGTAACCTGTCTGTAATAGTAAATACAAGTGTAATATCTGTCTGTGATACTAAATACAAGTATATTACCTGTCTGTGATACTAAATACAAGTGTTATATCTGTCTGTGATACTAAATACAAGTATATTACCTGTCTGTGATAATAAATACAAGTGTAATATCTGTCTGCGATACTAAATACAAGTATATTACCTGTCTGTGATAATAAATACAATTGTATTACCTGTCTGTGATACTAAATACAAGTGTAACACCTGTCTGTGATAGTAAATGCAGATGTGATACCTGTCTGTGATACTAAATACAAGTATAATATCTGTCTGTGATAATAAATACAAGTATATTACCTGTCTGTGATAATAAATACAATTGTATTACCTGTCTGTGATACTAAATACAAGTGTAACACCTGTCTGTGATAGTAAATACAGATGTGATACCTGTCTGTGATAATAAATACAAGTGTAATATCTGTATGTGATACTAAATACAAGTGTAATACCCGTCTGTGATACTAAATACAAGTGTAATACCTGTCTGTGATAGTAAATACAAGTGTAATACCTGTCTGTGATAGTAAATGCAGATGTGATACCTGTCTGTGATACTAAATACAAGTGTAATACCCGTCTGTGATACTAAATACAAGTGTAATCCCTGTCAAGAGTCAAGTCAAGAAGCTTTATTTAACGTCGCATATACATATGTAACATAATAACATTAGCTGTAACGCTATTCTTGCGATAAAGCATATATTAAATTTAACAAGGATCATGTTTTGTCGCAAGAATAGCACCACAGTGCTAATGTTATTATGGTGCATGTCTGTAATAGTAAATACAGGTGAAATATCTGTCTGTGATACTAAATATAAGTGTATTACAGATAATTACAAGTAAAGTGTTCTACTTTCGTTTTCAAATAAATGCAACAAAATAAGAGAATATTCTCATTTTACCAAATGCTTTCACTTCAATAAACATAAGCATTAAGACTTTTACCTGTTTGACTCCGCGTTTTCCTCATTTAAAGCGTAATAGATGAACTGCAGCAGGTAATCGGACCAAGTAACCACCCTTCAAGGCTTCATGTCAAGTACCATAACGCATTCGGAAACTCTTGTTTTTTTCCAATTCGGAACACAAAATACGAAACTAAAAAAGCTGAATTAAAATTACAGAGGTGCAATGTGCCACATTCGAAAAAACTATATAGTCGATAAATAACGAAAAATAAACCCTGAAAAATAATGCATATTTATCGTTTTTTATATTAATTCAATGCTTTATACTATATTTATTTCTAAATATTTAATATTCAAAAATAAAAAAGATCATAATATTACCTCCAAAATAGCAAATCAGAATTTTTTTATGGGTTAGTGTTGTCTGACACATATTGTTTCGCCGGAAGTGGGGTTTGAAACAGAATAACATCATGGCATCTAGTTACACATCTTCGCCGCGCTACCTAAACGACGACGATTTAGACGACGACGACCTTTTTGATTTCGACGATGATCGAGATTTTGATGATAATTGTACTGACGAAGGTAACTGATATAGAAATATGTGCAATGGCACTTTGATTAAGTAAAGAAATGTCGACAAAAAGCACTGAAAGCCTCGTACACAATGTGAACGTCTGTTGATCTGGGGAACAATTATAAATATTAATTGAATGTTGTACTGATTTCAATATCACATCAGTCAATGTAATATACAATTTTTATTCTCAGGTTCGTTACTGATTTTGTTAAGTTTGTGCAACTTTTTGACGAAAACATCCATACCGATGGTGCATTAATCTTCGGACGTTTCGTCCCCACATTTTGCCTTGAGCACATTTCGGTGTAAGTCAAATCGACCAAATCGACAGCGCAAACCATCACATTGCCTCACCCCCAATTGCAGTCCCATTTTTTTTGCATTGCATCATTGTATTTGTGGCTCTCATTAATACATATTCAGTTGAATTTATTAAAAAGAAGATTTATTTACACATAAAATTTTTTGACTCGGGTCATGGAATGGTCAGGCTACTGTCTAGACTATAAATAAAAAAAAAAACAAGACAATAAGACAGTGTGGTGTTAAAAATTGGTGTGTCAATTTAGTGTGATGATTTTACCTTGCTGGTAATTTTGTGTGTATTTAATCAGCATTAATTTCATCTTGATTTTTTGTTGAAACTTGTTATTCAATCAACAGCAGCATTAAGTATATCTTGCAAATGTCTTTACTCATAGAATAATTCTTATTTTATATATGCAGCACCAATTTCACATTCATTATTGTTTTAATACCATACCCGTTTTAAACAATGTCATAGTTTTATTATCTAATTTATATATTTCCATGTTCAAGAAGTATATAAACAATAACAAAATACATTTTTTGCAGTGATCACCAATATGCACATTGTAGGTGTATGCAGTGACATTGTGTGTGTATACAAATTGCACACATGCTACATGTAATATCTCTATCAGTATTGAACACTGATCACAGTTACTTCCCTTGGTTAACTAAATCATGATCTCATAGGGGAATCCCCGAACATATAAATAGCATCATGATGGCTTCCACAGGAGGTAAAGTACTGCACTGCTTCTGTGTGTTTGTTGCTGGTGTTTGTTTGTCTGGAGCTGTGCGTGGTGTAGATAATGTCCTGACTGGCTGTATAACATGTCCCCAATCATAGAACTACAGCACTGTATTTAATATCCTAGTACACATATTACTTTATCATTGCATGAAATTTATGCTGATTCATGTATTCTTACATCACATGATTAACAGTTATTTTTAGTCTGGATCCCTTCATAAATTATCTGTATTAATAATAAATAGTGATAATCATTCTTGTTCATAATTACATGTACATGTATAAATATTTGTGCAGGGTCCATTAATGTAATTTGCTAATTATGAATCTAAAGATTCATAATGTCTTTTGTTTTAAATTGAATGTAGTATTAGTCACAACCAATGACTGTCTATAGGTGCATACGGATGTGTGGTATTGCACATGCTCATAATGTAACCTTGATATTTATCTTTTACAATACGAGTCAGTATAAATATAATTGTTTTATGTTTGCCTAGATATGACTTGTAATTATAACATGTACATGTGTCAGGGTCATTTATTAAATACAATCAGTTTAATGGTACATTAATTACTGTAAGAAAAACAATAATTTCCATATTAATTAATAACACAGGAAGTTGTTTGAATGAGATTATGTCCCACATATCAAACAATTGTGATGTATTGCCAACAATGGCAACTTTGTAGATATATTTGACAGAAAATCATTTTGTGAGCGACATCTGCAATTATTCATATGTCAGTTTTATACAGGTGATAATTTTCTTATATTAAATGTAATGTATATATTCCATTTTTCTTTATATTTAACAATAAGATTTTATGATCAAAAGTAAAAAAAGTGACATGAACAGAAGTCAAAATAAATCCCCCCTTTTTGCCTGCCCCCCTGCT